GGAGGAATTCATACATCCTCAATTACGCTACCTAAGCGTGGTGTTCGACTATATGAATAACGATACTCCACTTTTGCCCGATAAGGCACTCTGGAGCCTTGGTAAAGCTGGATAAGACAAAGGTGGCTTAGTCGGGCGGCACAGTTCGACAGCTCCTTGATATGCCATGACGATCCGAAACTCATACGACAGTCCAATGACAATGCCACTAGGTTCAAAAGTGGCATGAGAACCCTCAGAGAGGATGTCTGCAACGCAGGCAAAATGAGAATAGCAACATTAGGTATGAGTGTTTGAAGATACTCTTCATGTTCTAAAAATCCTGAGAGTGGAGTGCCTTGATAAAAAGAAAACCGACATTCTGCCTTGTTGCGTGGCTCACACAAGCAGCACCACTCTATCCAAATATCTACTCTTCTTGCTCTTTTATTGATGATGAATGAGGTATACTGACGTCGGTGAAAATCAGTGAGTGTGAAGTCGTTTGTCTTATCTTCGAGCAGCCTTGCCCAAGCGTGACAAACAAGGCGAAGGCGTTCAACCGTTGCTTGTGTCACATCACGGTAATGACGATAGTAGTGACAGTTAGATGAGAATGTTTGTCGACACTCAATCAAATTGGTGGAGAGGGTACCTTGTTCTGTGAAAGGGAGGAGAGGGGAAGCAATGGCACATTCCAAGATCTGGCGCCAGATCTCGACAGGAATCCGTTCAACAGCAGTCAATGACATCCAAAGAGATTCAAAACTGAATTTCGAATTGAACGGTTTTCGAAACTGAGATCTCGAGTTATTTGTCTGGGAATCGTCGGGTCCAAGTCAGAGCGGTCGTGGATAAATATAAATAAGAGGAAACTGTTCAGATGTGTGATCTCTCCAGATATAAAGGACAAAAGATGAGTAATAACGCAATATAAAAGAACACAAAGATCGAAAACAAATGAACAGGCTACAGATATCGGTTGTCCATCGATCGAACGAGTCCTCCTCAGACCGCCAATACAAACACTCCCTACCCAAGTCGACTCTGCGGCATTTTTGAACAAAGGACCTGAAGGACTCTTGATGAGCGTCTGGAATAATTGAAATACATGAGGGCGAATGCGAACGAGGCATGGTCTATGGACCCTGACTCGCTATGTCCATGGACGTCCAAATTCTACTTGAACGCAAGTTTCGAAACTGACTTTTACACCCCTGAAGTCGTTCCTTGGCGGGTTCCACAAGCTGTTATGGGTCGAAACGATAGGTACCGTCATAAAGATCGAGTTATACTATAGCAGGGCTCGCGTCGTGATCTCCAGGCGCTTCAAGAGGCAAGAAAGAATGAAATTGATATCCATTTTGCTAGGAGTAGGTAAGCTTCTTATTGGTATTACCGTGTAAAGGGGTGATCCGTGAGAAAGGAAAAGAGCTTACTCCTCTTTCTACAATAGTAGTGCCATCGAATCTATAGGTAGCAGCATTGACGAACCAAGAAGTGGTGAATGCCCTATAAGGTAAACTAGACTTGATGAGGACTCCGGTATGCGCTTCTGTTATTATGGTCTCTTGATCAATGACAATTTCTTGGGATTCTCCTTGGATACGAGTGGTGGCACCTCGTCGAATTGGCCTCGGATTAAAGTCCAACAGAATGAGGCTTGGTGACCACCAACATTGAGGATGCAAGACGGAGGGGTCTCCCCAAGCAATCATGCGACACCCATACACATTATCACCTCCGGTCGCTTTAATAGCGGAGGGGATCCACCTGGTGACGGTTGGGCCCCACTCCTCCCATTGGAAACTTGTTCGACCTGGGTGCTTCTTCAACAGGGAGGTGCACATCTGGCGGAATCGTTGAATCGAGACCACGCAGAGTATAGTATTGAAGTTGTCGAATTTGAAGTTGACCACTGTTATGTTTACCTGCGGGTCAGCGATGAAGCTCCGCCCAAGGGAGACGGGACGATTGTCCTGAACTCGGGAGTCTGCTCGAGTCTCAAACTGGACATTGGACGGAGACTTTGGGAAAGGGAATTGGCATCTACACAGGATCCTCTGGAGAGGGAAAGAGTACACGGCGATACTTGTGACATCTTCCTCGCTATGGAAGAGTAACAGTGCCTCGTCTCTTGATAAAAACTCTATCTCCTTCACAAGCATGTACGGCTATTTTGGAGTCAGCAAAAGTAATTTGATCGACGATATATCATACCATGATGACCTTGGACACCTTACAGTCAATGACGAGTCCGGCACCCCGACGTGTTTCCCAGTCACCTTCGAAGAACATAACCGCGACTCGGTCTTCGTAGGACGATGTATAGCAGCACGTCCACACAGGGTAATCTGCCCTAAGAATGTCGACATACGGACTGGCTGAATTCGGGTGAGGCTCATTCGTCGAAATAGTTCGGAAATGAAATCTTCTGCACCCCCTTCCACGTAAAGTCAGCTACAAAACTCGCCGAATT